CCCCCCCACCCGCACGAGTTGAAAGGTTGGGGAAATCAGAGTAAATTTGGCTTTGGTGTCTTGGAATTTACAACCAAAGGCAAAGAACAATCTTATATCTTTACATAATTGGCAGTGCCATGAAATCTTGTATAAGTTTAGACTTTATTGAGCATAAACTGTAACAATGCCCATGTATTCTTATCCACTGATGAGGCGTAACATTAGTCACATTTAAGTAACGGACGTCGTAATGGCGTACCTCTCGCTCCTTTTCTCGCTCTGCATCGAGCATTTTTAGATCTCCAAGCTATTATCATCGCCCAGCACAATCTGGCCCAGGCCCTCTCCTATTATCTGGTTAAGCTCAAACTTTATATTTGCGTTAATTCTCACCGCCTATCTCCCCGTGATAGGTTGCATGATCATCTGACACGATGATAAGCTGCAAATGTTAATGTTTATTTACGTTTCGCAATGTATCCGGTATTCAAAATAGGCCTTTAATGTGTAGGAAGTAAGGCTCTAATGTAAATGAAAACAATTTTTAAACTTTTCATAGCTGGGGTAGTTGCCTGTCACGGTAGTCTTTCATTATAGCGGGCATTACCATTTCAAAGAAAATCTCATCTGATCATAATGAATCTTTGAAATGCTGCGTCCAAAGCGTACTTTTTTGTACTTGTGACAAATAATATTTCCCAGAAGAGGTTCCTCCTTTGTGTTTCTTGTGTTAACAAGAAAGACACACACACACACACACACACACACACACACACACACACACACACACACACACACACACACACAGACACACACACACACACACAGGAAGTGAAATCATATCGAGGTAACAGACATGATTTAGTACAATTATTATTCTCATGTACAATATTGCACTGACATGGAGATTTCTAGATCCGAAGCTCATTTTGGGTGGATATGAACGAGTTTCGAGTTCACGAAGACGCTCAGTATGGACAATTTACTTCTTCTTTTTCTTGGAACGTTCCCCAACAAGAGCCAAGGGCAAGTCCACTACGTTTGTCTCGACTTTAATTCTAGTGATACATAGAGGCCTAGGGTATGTTGGTACCTGTATAAGCTGTTTCTTATACTGCGTAGAAGCTCTGTGGCCGCTTAGCTAATCGAAGCTATTCATAAATAACATAATATTTTTGTTTCGATTTTGTTTGAATAGTTTTCCCTTTTGCAGTTTTCGAGAAGCAGCCAGAGTTTAAAAAAACCCTGCTCTTCTTTGACTTTCGTTTGTTAGTATCTTTCTGGTGTCGATGGGCGTTTGGGATTTAATATTATGGGTAGGGTCTTATCCGTTGCGTGCAAAAAGACCTTAGGGAATTTTATTTAATCAAATACTTGTCCTCTAGAAGTTGTATCCCTTTCAGCCTGGGTTGGCCCGCACAGGCAGGTCGAAGCATCCCGCTCTACATGATCCTAATGGGGTCAATGGAGGTTAAAAAGTCATCGTAAAAACATTATCTTAGGCGTAGGCAACATAATTTTAATTACAGTAATGTGGAGAAATAGTTTTTTAAAAATGTAAAAAAAAATAAAAATCACGTTTTCCTCCCACCGCGCATCTGCCAGCTACGGGTTCCAACAGGTTCTTTTGAGACGATCATCTTACCTTTGCGACATTTACGTCTCTTTGGGAGCCCTCAGTCACTCCATCATAGACGAGAATTACTGTCTAAATCCAGCTTCACACGTAACTTACCCTGTGTTGCCAGGCACGTAAAACAAAACGTACACTGAAAAATCAAAGTTCTATTTCCTTTTTTGATGCTATAAAACCTTTCTGTATGCCTCTAAGTATCTTGAAATTGTTATGTTGCTTTGGAGTCCGCATCTCTTTGTTTTTCATTGATTTATTTTCTTTTTAATTGAAATGTAGATGTTTTACGCCCCAACAGACACAATATAGATCCTTCAGCAGGCGGGCATCTGACCCCCCCCCCCCAAACCCAGACTGAGAGGGATAACATCTCAGCAGAAAGACAAAGATACTCGATAAATTATTTCTCCTTACTCGGTAATCGAAGTGGGGTCTCCTGTGTGAAAAATGAAGCGCCTAACCGCTACACCATAGACGCCAGTCATCTTTTCGTGAGCACTCTACACTATACGCATCACCAAACTGTAATTCAGCCGAAACACTGACTCCATTTCTCTGACATGAAAGCTGTATTTCTGGTAAAAATACATTTCGACCCCTCAATGTTAAAATGAAACAAGACAGATCCCAGTCAGAGATGAGGTAGGAAGAAGGCGGTGGCGATGGATTGGACATACTCTCAGGAAGTCAGGCAGCTAGCTGCATAACAAAGAAAGTTTTGGATTGGAATCCACAGGGTAAGAGATCAAGGGGAAGACCGCGTGGAACCTGGAGAAGAATCACAGAAATCGAGGTACAGGAAAGTGGGAAGACATGGAATAACATCAAGAGGCTAGCCCAGGATAGAGAAATGTGAAAGGTGTTTGTCCGTGGCCTATACCCTGGTGCAGGGTGAGAAAAGCAATGATGACGATGAACGTTAAAATGAAATATTAAAAAATGTTTTTGGCGAATGAAGTCACACTATGATGACGCAAAATGTAGCCTCCCTTTGGGAAGACCCTAGGTGTAGGTCAGGTAATTTCCGAATGCAGGTGGGGGGGGGGGGGGGGGGGGAGGGGGGTTGCTCACTTAACTTTTTTCCATATTCTTTCACCTTACTACTTTACCAATAGTATTTCTTTCTTCAACTTCACGCTACAACAGCTCTTGCAGAATCGGGGCCCCTGTCAAGCTACAGAACTGTGGTGTCCCAGAGCGTGGTCGATGGCATCTTCAAGACCAAGTGTCGGCTTGATGAAGCTGGTACCACCGATTTCCTCGTGGTCACCACGAGAATTATGAAGAAGTACTGGGAGGCTGTGTGTTTTCTCATGTTCTCTCACGTGCATAACTGGTCGGTGCTTGGAGTGGACGTGAGGGACCAGTCGACTATCATTGTCCCCCCGGATCTCACGCAGGTGAGACTTTTGGTGTTGCTTGGCCCAAACTTTTGACGAGCATTAATTTTACTATCCAGAAGGGAATTAATTATAACGCTTTTGTGTTTGAAATGCTCTAGTTTAAAGGGAAAGCCGAGAAGGAGGAGGTGGAGAAGGAGGAGGAGGAAGAGGAGGAGGATGGTGATGTTGATGGTGATGCTGATGGTGATGTTTTTATTTTGGAGTGTCAGTTGACAGAACTAAGGGAATTAACGAAAGGAGGCAGGGATGGCTCTAATTCTTTTCTGCTTTGTTAATAAATTTATCAATCGATAGAAAAAAGATAATTTGTTTAAAGCACATGCTCAGCCTTAGCTTGGCATGAAACGGCTGATTTACGTAGCATTTGTGCCAGACTCCCTTGGCCACCGTACTCAAATTAGTTTTTAAAAATGCTTGGATAGTAGACCGAATATGATTTACTCTAGATAAGTCAAATGGTAAGGGCTTTATGCTAGGATGGCATGTTGTGCTCAACGCTCGTTTCAAAGCTGCAGCAATGTGGGACCACCTAATGTAACGTCCCAAAAAGACTTAATAGATGAGTATAGACTGCTGTGCAAATTCCTCAAGCAAACCAAATTCGAAAGCGAACAATAGAAAGGATTCGAACCAATGTTATGCACACCGTACCCGATACAATTCAATATGTTCTTGAAGTTAGTACATTGTTTTACATTTCAATGGTACTACAGTGAATAGTATTGTTACTTCCTTTCCCTTGTTATTTCGAACTAAAACGTAACCTTTTATCCCTCTTTTTGAACCAGGTGGAAACCAGCATAAAAAATTACCTGATGTCTTTAGATGGAAGCGGCAAAGTGGAAATCATTCGCAGTCGCATTATTCCTTGTGATATGTTCAATGCAGGTTTGTGGGATTTTAATCTTGCCGTTTCTTAGTACAATATCCTGTTTCAATGACAGAGGACTCTTTCTTCAGATGAAATCATAAAAAGAATACTTGATAACGAAAATTCCTATCAAATAAACGAGAAAGGAAAATGGGAATGCCTGCAACTGTAAATATTGCAGAACTGAGGTAACTGATAATTGATAAATGAAAATATCTTTTAAGCTGTTTTCAACCAGCATTCAGACATATCTAGGTTTTAGTAATAAACCGTTTAGTATTTTATCGCTCTAGAATATCCACTGTTTTATGATACTATCAGACGTAGAAAGATAGACCTCTATTTATATGATACTAATTCACAGCTTGTTTCCGGTGCTAATTACTGAATGATGTGCCGAAGGATCAATGTTACATGATTGCTGTAGATGAATGTGAGTTTCGTTGTTGACGTCCATTTGCTGTCATTCCAACTGTTATTATTACACCGCCAAGAAATAAAAGCAAAACAAAACAAAATAAAAAACAACAGCACCAGCAACAACAACAACAACAACAACGACAACAACAACAACAACAACAACGACAACAACAACAACAGCAACAACGACAACGATGACGAGGACGATGACGACAAGTTAAACAGCAACAGCACCTGCAACAATAACAACAGAAAGAAAAATCAGCTGGTGTGTAGTCCAAAGAAAACATCTCAAGCCAAAATCTTTTCTCAGGATTCCACACTCGACAGGGAGGCATCTCCCAACTGCCCCCTCTGGCTTCCATGAACATGCTCCATACGATCAGAAAGCCAGACCCACTAATTGTCATCGCGGAGAACCGCAGACGTTTGGCCGTGGCTGCCGACTTTGACCTTGACCTTCTGAATGTCGCGAGGACGGAACACGGCAAAAAGGTATGGGTCATGGGTCGTGACCCAGAGCCACCGCTGAAGTACGATGGGGTGATCACAGATGTCCCAGGAGTCGTGGTAGCCGCTCCAGGGGCAGACTGCTGCGTCATCTTGCTAGCAGACACCAGAACCGGTAAGAATGCCAGGCCTGTCTTGATCATTCATTAGCTTCCTCTTGCTTGCTGGGTGTTTTCTTTGTTTCTTTGTAAAGCCACAGAAACTAACTGAACAGAACGTGTTTTTATTTGGGGGTGGGGGGTGGGAGGGGTTTTTCATCCCTTTCCCTGAAAGATAGCGGAAATGTCCTAACGGACACACTGAGACAGGGGACTGGGAAAGACAGGCAGAGACAGGGAGAAAGAGAGAGAGGGAGAGAGAGAGAGAGAGAGAGAGAGAGAGAGAGAGAGAGAGAGAGAGAGAGGGAGGGAGAGAGAGAGAGAGAGAAAGAGAGAGAGAGAGAGAGTGTGTGTGTGTGTACGCGCACGCGCTCGCTTTGTGTGTGTGTTTGTGCTTCTAACTTTTCCAGTTGGAGGTCGGCTCCTGTGGATCCACTGTTACGGATAGAAACATACTGTCAAAGCGGTCAAAGACGCAACACATTCGTTATCTGCGGAAGAGACTTTTTACCAAGATGAAATGTGCGTGATCTGTGGGATACGGTTGAGGTACCTGCCCACAGACACCCACGTTTTGTGTCGGAAAAATTGCGTCAGAATTTATTGTACTTCTTTTTTGTCTGCAGTCTCTCCACCCACCTCACTTTCACTCGTCTAAGTTGGGCATAATAAATCTGACCCCCCCCCCAAAAAAAAAGAAGAAATAAATCGTGTTGAAAGGGGGGGGGGCTCTCGAGGTCAAGAGGTACTGTGTTCGCCTTTCATTCAAAAGGTCCGAGGGTCGAAACTTGACAACGACAAAAACTTTTCTTCTGTAAAAATGTTCTCCATTCAAGTCCTTTCCTATTCTCTTGCCCTGCTCTGTCTTCTGCTTTCATCTCCACTTCATATCCCCCCTCCAGCAGCGGAGGTTACTTGTGCAAGTTGTGCACGTTTATGATCCATTGGTGGTCCCAACATCACCAAACAGAGTAGGCTTAGGCTGCCACCTTGGCAAAATGCAAAATTATTTCTTATCAAAACTGAAAATACATGTATTCTAGTCTCGAAATCCAAATGTGTCTACCCGAGGGAAGGGCCCTACGAAGTTGGAAAAAACGGTCAGATACGTAAAAATCAGTTGCGTTGTAGGTTGAAGAACCAGCACTGAGATCTAGCAGGAGAACGCAAAGAAAATAGTGTTGAAAGTGGCGTAACAGAACTTCACTTCGACTTTAGTTTTTCGGACCTCTAAAATGTTCAAATAAAGACTTGCCCCCAATGCCACAGACTGACACAACTGAGAGCAGTTCTGAAGACACTATGTGTATATAAATAGAAAAAAGCCTGCCCTCCTCGTTAAAATGACTGGTTGTGTCGAAAGAATAGTGCTCCGCCAGTGGAGGAGTTGCGCCCCCATTGGAAGGGCAGATAACTACTTTTTAAAAAACCCACATATTCTCCATCCTTCTCCCAATGGTGGCTTTTGTTGTCTTTCAAAGGGTTGAACTTGTGTATGTTGGTCTAAGACATGTTTTTAAACGAATGTCAGAGTCAAAAGACTGCTCAACTCGACTTTCTTGTAAGAACGAGTGCTACCATGTGTTCAGTCCTCATTTTCTAATGTATCTGAGTGAATACAATGTCTTAATATTTATTATCATGTCCTCCAGTAGCAGAAAATGGTTTGGCTTTTGGTCTTTAATTAAGATTGGCACATTCTGTTTCTACCATAAAAAAGCATAAATAAAAGTGAAGGGTCCATAGCTATTCATTTATATCCGTGTGACTCAAATACAAACTTTCTGCCGTACGAAAATGTATGAATTATCTATATTTTTGGAGCCACTAACCTCTCGCCCTTGTTTGCGCACCGTCAGGAGCCTGCGGTGCCGTGCACGCCGGTTGGATGGGTACTGTAGCAATGGCAGCTCGCGAGACGCTGAGAGCGATGGTAGACAACTACGGAACTGATCCTCGCCACGTACATGCAGCTATTGGGCCAAGCGTGGGAGGACAGTGCTTTGACATGCCAATCTCTGACGCCCAAGTTATCACTGACCTTGATCCAAGTCTCACATGGCCTTCTGAAAGAAAGGAAGGCTGGGTCCACACCAATCTCCCAGGGGCTAATGCAGTTATCTTGCAGAATGAAGGAGTGCCAAAGGAAAACATTGACTTAACCACTGCTCTGTGCACTGCGTGTAATAAAAACATGTTCTTTTCCCATCGCAGAGATAGTATTCCATTTGGCAATCAATTGGGATTTATTTCTTGTAGGAAAAGGTAGTGGGTATTTCTTTTTGGATTTTTGTGCTCTGAATGAAAGCTTTGGTCAAGAATAAAGAAAGACTTGGGAAAAGATTGAGCTGTAATTGCTACTCCTTGCTCGCTCACCTCTGCCCCCTTACCTCGTCCCTAATATCAAGTTAGGATGCGTCGTATACCACCTTATTGTCAGTTTTCTATTTTGTAATATGTGCTGCTTGGACAGTGGGTTCCATTTTGTCACCACTAGAATCGGCGAAAAGCTGATAGTGCTGATATTACACCCCCTTATTGACACAATATATACCTATTACGAGGCGGCTGCTTCGATCCAGCAGACAGACGGAGAGACTCGATTTTAAAAAAACTTTCCCAAACAGGAATCAAAACCACGTCTTCTGTGTGCGACGTCAAAGCATCTATTCACTACAACACAGGTGCCGGCAATGCTACTGTTGATACCTTTGAATGTTTATTAATTTACCTCATAAACTTTTAAAAGTCTCGCATTATTCCCATTCCAAGAGGAAATCCTAAATGGTGTAACGTATCTAACATAATACTTGGTCATCTTACAATGTTGTGATCTTTCTAAACTTCAAAATAGAAGCTACTTACCTACGTTTTTTCTTTATGGCAAACGTGGAATTGTTGTTAGTTTGTAACATGTTTTACAGCTTAAGATTAATTCAAATTTACACTTATTTTTATCTCCTTTTCGCATTCCTATAAGATCGCACTATCTGATTTGTATTTGATGGGTTGACTCTTGGTACTTCTACCTTTGTGAAAATGAACAAAAACTACCTTGCAATAAATCTGTATTCAGTGACGAAGATGATGGGTGATTGTTTCAAGAGAAGGAAACTGCCTCTGGCCTTTTTGCGTTTTAACAGACTATCTAAAAGCAGCCTGCAGCCTGCATAATAGGGCTTTGCCTGGGCGGTAGATATAGAGGAAGTAGAGTTCCTAAGTACTACTTCTCTCCTGTCAGAGTTTGACCCTTGATAATGGGTGTGTGTGTTTTACTGATAGAAAAGAACGCTTCCCACTGGGTAAAATGTGAAATGTTATGTTAATTACATATGTTTTTGATGTACCGTTGTTGTGATCAAGGTCCAGCGCTGTTGTGAGGTGAAGCATAGAGTCCTATTTGGCATTTCGTGTGTACTGAAATAATCGTGTTAACGTCTAGAAGTGTACATGAGAAAGAAGATTACATTGCTGTGTATTCCTTATTCTGTGTTTCAATCCCTATGGTTAAAGAAACATAGATGTCTGTCTGTCTGTCGATCTGTCTTCCTGTCTGTCTGTCTGTGTGTCTGCCTGTCTGTAGGTCTGACTGTCAATTAATTCTTATTTGGTTGTTATCTCGTAGTGCATGCGATGTGTTTGGTGAGCTTTCTATTGTTCGATGTTTTTCGGGAGAGGGGGTGGGAGGGGGGATACACTATGATGATCCTTTCCAAGTGCTCAAAGCCTTTTCTAGTCTTTTTATAAAGCGTTTTTACGCTTCCATCGATACAATTTAGATGATTTAGAAGCCTCCCAATCCGACCAACTCGGGCTGAGATGGATACAACATTCCTGCAGAAAGACCGAGATACCCGAAAAAAATTCGCCCCACTGGGGAATCGAACTCGGGTCCCCTGCGTGCGACAGCGAAGCCTCTAACTGATGCACCACAGAGTCTAGTTTTTCTAGTCTGGTCTGGAGTAAATGATACAAATGGGCGGGTGATCATACCTTTTAACCCACCTAGAAAGAGAGGGCCTTCTATGCTTTGACTTTTCCCCTCTTTAAACTTTATAGAATGAGAAAAATTCGTGAATGTGTATATATTATTATGTTATATATATAAAGTTTACACTGACTTACATTGTTGTAATATAATCAGAAGGTTGATTTTTAAATCTGTATGCCTTGTACATAGTGTCCTTCTGAATTAATCTTGTTAGTTATCACATCGTTTCGTACTGATTTTGAGTGCAGGGTTTATTTTTTCACGTGTTGTGACATGCTATTAAATATTATTTTTGGAAAATGTATTCCACATAATTATTCATGTTGTTCAAGTGCTGGCCACATTTCCGTTCGAGCGGGTTAGTAAGTACTGGTAGTTTGTGATGGTATGATGAATATTTCACATCATCTGAAGATTTACACTTTTTTTGCACCACTTTGCTCATTGTTTCAACAACGAATTAGACTTTTACTTCTTTATCTTTACATTCCCCATGATGCAATACAATTTTGCAAAAATTCTAACTCATGAGTTATATATTTTTTTAAGTTCGTAGATACTTTTGGTCACGTCTGTATGCCATCTTTATGATGTTGTGTGTACATTATATATTTTGTATATGTGTATGTTTATGTACATGTATACACGCACACACACGCACACACACGCACACACACACACACACACACACACACACACACACACACACACACACACACATACACATACACATGCATTCAAGGGGAGTCTCATGGTCTAGAGGTTATGGTGTTCACCTCTCATTCAATAGGTCCCAGGTTCGAAACCTGACAGCGACGGAAAATTTCTTTCTCTAAAAAATGTGTTCCTTTCATCTCTTTTCCTACTTTCTAACCATGTTCTGTCGTCTTCTTTCGTCTCCACTCTCTGCCCCCCCCCCCCAACCCGTTTTGCCCCATCCTCTGGGGTCATGGCTCTGTGTGCAGTCTTTCTTCTGCTACTCATTGGCTCCTTCTTACTGCTGTTCTTTCAGCCACACCCTTGATCTTAGAGTAGGTAAGATCTTATACCTAGCCTTCTCGTATAAGGCCTAAAAATCTCAGAAGTTGCGCCTGCAAGTTGCGCACATTAAAGATCTCTTGGTGGTCCGAAATCCATAGGAGCAGGCTTCGGCCGCCACCCCCGCAAAATTCAAAGTTAATTCCTATCAGACTGAAAATGTTTGATGTTACCTGTGCGCTCATTATGGCTCATATATGACCTTATGCAGCTGCAAGCACCGTGAAACACTTACCAAAACAAAACAAACAAAAACACACACTAATACACACATTATACTCTTACACGCACACAGATACACACACACACACACTCACACACATACACACACACACATACAAACACACTCACGCACACGCACACGCACACGCACACACACGCACACACAAACATACACACACACGTGCTTGCACCACAAAGAAAAAAGACTTTTCATTTTAAAGAAAAGAAGTAGACATTATACAGCTCTAAGGAGAAAGAAGCTGCCAAGGTAAGCAGATAACTGCAAACAAAATTATAATTATAATAATATAATATTACCGTTCATACGCAGTTCGTTACAATAAAAAGACTGCAAGGGACGCAATTCAGAGAGGCTTGCTTTGAGAAGAACATTATGCATAACTTGATTGTTTCCCTTACGTCAGAATGCTGTCACTGTGAATAAACCTGGAGGACTGACAATGTCAACTTGTTGGAACGGTTGCTGTTTTATAGTGTTTCTTTTTGTTCTCCTCTTGAAGTGTTTTTCCTTCAACAACAATAAAGCTATAGCAACTGCCGGACATAATACCCAACTGGTTTTTAGATATGATCAAATGCGAAAACTTCGCTTAAAGTCCTACGAATCATTATCTCTACTTAAAGTTCTGAGTTCTGATAACAGTCCCTGCAAAAGGTTATGTACGATATGGAATTTTCAGCGCGCATGTGGTCATTCACGTACAGATAGTTGTAAGTGTGGATTCGCATTCCTTATACCATGCATACAGACACACGCATAAACACACACACACACACACACATATACACACACATTCACACACAC